GGCAGTGCTGGAAAAGCAGCAGCTGCGCGGTGTAGATCTTGCCAATTGGAGTTTCTAGATAATGGGTGATGGAGGTGGGTTTTAGAAAGTGGTGGTTTTCATAGGTGGAAGAGCTAATTTTGGATGGTAATGGTAGTGGAGATTTGATAATGTGGTGTAGGTGGAGATAGGTTTGAAATGAAGGCTGATGGAGGTGGGTTTCAGCTGGTGGTGGAGGGGATTTCTGATGGAGGTAGGGATGAGTTTGAAATGAAGGCTGGTGGAGGTGGGTTTCAACTGGTGGTGGAGGGGATTTCTGGTGGAGGTGGGTTGGTTACAAAATCAAGGTTGGTGGAGATTTCGCCTAGGGCTGGTAGTATTGTTGCTGATTTCGTAGGCGGTGGAGCTGAAACAGGTGCTGTTGATTTGTCTCACTTGAAAGAGGTTAGGGCTCAGACATGGGAGGAAGAAGGAAAATAAAAGAGAAGGAAAGAAGAGATAAGCTAAAAACGTCAATACAAATGACATTTTCAATTAAAACGTCAATCCAACTGACGTTTTTAGGTCTTTTAGATGCTCACTATTTAAACAAAAAAGGTCAGTTGGTCTGACGTTTTTGGCCCAAAAATGTTACTCCAACTGACGTCTTTTAGTCTAAAAACATCATTCCAACTAACATTTTTAAAACAACCTAGGTATGAGAAATACTTTGAACAGAACCCTCTTTTGGATATAATTCTGAAAAACCCCATAGGTTGGGGGTAAAAGCTTTTATGTTAAGATTAATTTCAATGGTGTTGTGTTTCGCTTCCTGTGGATATTCAGATGTGGGTGTTATTGTACGGAATAATGGTGGACAATTCCTAGCTGGGTTTAATAAAAGCATCTTTGGGCAATTAAGTTCTAACAATGTGGAAGTTTTAGCAGTTTCATTGTTGTCCAAATAATTACCAATAAAAAATTATTATTTTATTTTGGTGCATTGGCTACCAATAAGTAATTATATATAAATAAGGATAAAAATAATTAAAAAAAAAACTAATGTGTCTCTAATAAAAGTTTTATCTTAGAGAGACCTATTAGGATTGTTTTACATGTGTTTTAAATATGGTAGTATTGTTAGATAGATCAAACCCTTCATAAATATATATATATTTGATATGGTCTTTTAGTGAGAAGGTTTGTAAAGAGATCTATCCAGTGGAAAAAAAAGGGATAAAAGTATGATTAAAATAAGTTTCCTTATTGCCCTAGATGTCCACTTATATATAGATGTTTATATTCTCTTCTCATAATCACACCTACATATAAGTTAGAATAAGAAAAAAGAGAGGAGAGACTAGGGTTTTGAGTAAAGAAAAAAGAAGGGATTTAAAGAAGAAAGAAGAAAATTAGAAGATTTGATCATCAAGGTTAGTCTTCATATTGAAATTAAAATATGTATTTAATCAGTATATGTACACATATACAAGTTTGTAGTCCGATATATCTTGCAAGTAATCCATATGAGTAGGTTTATAGGGTTAAAATATATAAATTCAAGGATAATGTGGTGGGTATTTGTGTTAAGAAGATATTGAGAAAAAGGGGAAGAAAGAAAAAGGTACAGACCAAAGCTTCTGGAATTCCGTAAGGTTGAAGAAGATGGAAATTTTGAAATTATGAAAATATCTCCTTTAGTTTTAAATAGCTTTATTTTGACCATTATCCTTTTATAAACTCAATTTTGACCACCATAGAACTTGTTAATTTATAGCATTGACCCAATATGTTTGAAATGAATATTGTCATTTCAAAACAGCCCTCGACCTGAGTCTTGAAATTTTTTTAAAATTTTGAAACGACCCTTAAAAATTTCAATTAAGTGTTTAAAAATCAATGATTACTCTAATAAATCAAATCGAGGTTATATTCTCAAAAAATGGTTCTCTAGAACTTTAAATACTATTCTGAAAAAAATTATGGCAGCCTCGAAAATAGAAAATTCAATCTTTTTCAAAAAATTATAATTTGACCCCAAAATTTTTAAAAATTATGATTTAACCCCAAAACTTTAGGAACTTCTTATAAACTATCCAGATTATTTTCATACACTATTCGCTCACATTAACAATATTATTTTTATGTAAATGATATATAAAATATATATTAATGGATAGGAAGTATAAAAATTAAATATAGAATCGCGAAATAACAAAGTTAGAAACAGGGATTGATCGCTATATGTTATTTTGGATTAGGTGGTGATTGCATTGAGGTTGAGATAGAGGACTTTGAATTAGATTTTGGGAATCAAGGTGAGTAGTTTACTACTTCTCTTTGAGAGAATTTTCTATATTAAATGTGTGAGTATGTGCATGTGAATTTTTTATATATATGATATATGTGTTGATGTTTGAATTGCAATTAAATGTTTTGAAATTGTGAACTATTATACATGTGAATTTTGAAAAACTTGTGGGATGATTTTATATCATTATTTTGGTGATGAAAGAAAAATTTTGTGTGCGTTGGGACTAAAACTACAATTTTGGTGTGTGTGAAAATTATGTTTATGAGATGGGGAATGAGTTACCCGGTCTAAATGGTAACAAGAGACTGGACCAGTCATCAGGCTAGTGATGACAAGAGACTACGTCAGTTATCAGGTTAGTGATAACAAGAGACTAATCTAGTCATCAAACTAGTGATAACAAGAGATTAGGTCAATTACTAGGCTACTAGTAATAAGAGACTAGGCCAGTTACCTGACTAGTGGTAACAAACATGATTTAACAAATGTATTTGAAACTGAATGTGTGTGTGAGTGTTTTAGGTTATAAATGTCTTTTCATTTATAAAGTTATTTGTGAAAACGAGTAGTGTTTTGAGTTATAAATGTCTTTTCATTTATGAAGTTATTTGTGAAAATGACTGGTGTTTTGGGTTATAAATGTTTTTTCATTTATAAAGTTATTTGTGATCATGAGATCATTTTATTTAAATGATTATGTGAAAAGAGTTGGGGTACAATTTGTTATACTTATATATGTATCAAAATTTATTTTTGTATATAAACTGTGAGATTTATTTTCATATCTCATTAGAGTTGATTGTTATTCACGGGTCATTGTGCTCATACAAACATTTAACATTTTTCAGGTGAGGATCAGGGTGAGAATTAAGTCCATGGATTGACAAGGTATTAGAGGACTTGAAGATTTATTTTATTGTAGGTCTTTAGGAATAAATGTCTTTTGTAGCTTTGAGACAAATGTTTAATTGTTTTGGAAACAATATTACTTATGTTTAGAGTAGTGAACCTTACGGTTTAATGGTTGTTTTAAATGTAATTAGTAATGATATTGGTGATATTTAGTTTATTTCTTTGGTATTTATTAGGTCGGTGGAGGATCACTCTATTATTTGTCTTCCGCTATATTTTACATTTATTATGCACAGGGTTGGTTAGTTAAGGCCTTGGTGGTCGGTCCACTACCCACCATATGTGATCCGGGGTGAGGGCGTGACAATCCAGTTGAGATATGATCTTGGCTTTCAGAAAATAACACTAGAAAGGGATTCCAAAGGGGTTATTAGTTCAAAATAAGCAAGAGGATCATTCAGAAATGGGTAATTTTTTGGAACAAATTCTTTTTCTGTCTCTTGGATTCGCAAGCAAGGAAATGCAGTTGCTCGTTGTTTAGCTAGATTTGGCATAAATTGTAATATTCCAAACTTATGGACAGAGGAGAAAATTCCCTCGTTTCTATTATCTTCCATCCATGTTGATGTAATAATATCTGTTTAATGAAATATATATCGTCATTTTCTCAAAAGTATCTATTTATATATAATAATTTTTCTCAATTAAAGTATATATATGTGCATGCCTTCTAGTTCAAAAAGATTAAATTTGGAAATATGATTATGCTATCCACACTAAAAATAAGGGGACAATGTTTGACAATTAAAACCTTATATTTATCAGTGTCATCTATTAATTAGCCAAAAAATAGGTATTGTTGTTACAACTAGGAAATATTAATGGATTACTGTTAAAATGTTAGTTTGGGACAAGGGCCGCATGTACTATCAAATTAGAAGGAACTTTATATAATTATCATTTAGTAAAAAAATAAAATAAGAGTTATATAGTTAGNTACAACTAGGAAATATTAATGGATTACTGTTAAAATGTTAGTTTGGGACAAGGGCCACATGTACTATCAAATTAGAAGGAACTTTATATAATTATCATTTAGTAAAAAAATAAAATAAGAGTTATATAGTTCGATTTAAAATATACAAAAAACACCAAAAATTTGTATACAATTGAAAATGGTACTCCATAAGAAAATTAATTATAATTTCCATTTGTTTGTTTGAAGCCTCACCTTATTAACATTCACAATGATTTTTTATATTGATATAAATATCTTTATGATCACTAAATAAATTAAATTTATATACTAAAATGATAGATTATATTACATGGTTACATAAATTACATTATGAATAATTTGGATTAATTTGTATACATAAATTTGAAATCATGCAGCTTTTTATTTAATCGAGAAAAAACACATTTAAATAGCACAAATAAGGTTTGATTGACCGAAATACGCACTGTTTTCACTGATATTTGTATAGTGTAGACTACAATTTGAGTCTGTCTTTAAAAGTATTTTCGGATTCTCGCTGTCTATGTCCCACTAATAAACTTCCCTTGTGGATTCCAATTATACACAAAAAAGACGGATGATCAAATGAAAATAAGATGATTGACTTATTTATTTGAGGGAATAATATAAAAAAATTAACCATTCGTGAAATAAATGAAAACTCTTATATATTTCATGGGCAAAATGGGATTTACGCCTTTAAAATTGTGAGATCAATCAAGGTTATGTTACTGTTGAAAATTGAGACCGAGTCCATGTTACCATGAACAGTGCAGTAACTATAAAATATTATTAAAGTGGTGATACTTCAGCGTAAACGGGGCTTTTCCTTTGCTGCTTGTTAATTGCCACCGTAGTTTTAAGTCTGAACAGGAATTAGGGTTTATTCCAGTTAGGAGAGTTGAAAGAGACGACGATGAAGCCTCTGTTGAATACGCAAACTAAGCCCTAACCTTTAGTTGATTCTTAGCTTTATACGAACCATTAAGAGGAGAGAAGTCGAATTACCCTACTTCGCTGAGGCGAATTTAAGGTGCGGATCTCTGAGTCCGATCAGGTAAGCTCCACGGCTCACTGGCACACCACAAATGCAATCTTTGAATTAAACGTTATGTTCTATGTATCGACGTATACATGTTTTGATTTCTTGTTTGGTGCAATTGAACGACCTTAATCTTTTCTCGGTTGTGAGATCAAGTTCTTCTTGGTTTTTTGAGAGAAACTTAGAAAAAGAAAAATGAAGTTGTTTAATGTGCGGGTAAAATTTCCGCACCTACGTAGAAGATTGGCTGTGTTTCAGATCCCTCGTGACATGCAAGACGATTTAAGACCACAGACCGATAGTAAACCGGCCAAATGTCCTCCTATCTTTAAGGCAGCAAGAGTCAATTTGATTTGTGTGTGATATTGTTTCATTCTTAATCTCACTATATTGGCGGTTTACTTTAAAATTTATTTTGACTACTTGTTTGTATTGTTCCGTTGGGGGCTGAAACATTTGCTTCCGTTAAAATGGAATTACATAATGAAGTAGATTGCGGAAGTAAACGGTTATTTACCCTCTAAACAAAAGGCCGAACCAGATCTGAATGACTGATGAGTTAACAAAAGGAGTGTCCATGGTTCCTTCAACAATTATAACACTGTAGATAGAAATTTTTGTGATTAATGCAGAATTGATTCCTATATTGAATTTCTTTAACAGCTGAATTTTAAATAGTTTGTCAATTCTTTATGACCCCTGGCAGGGGATAGTACAGGTATAAGCTCTCTCTATCCCTCTCTATAGCTGTCTCTCATGCACACATGTGCATGTATGCTTGCAATGCATTCCTTAGCCCCCTTAGTTGTATTTTTGTAACCACTTAAAATTTACGAACAGGAAAATTGCTATTTACTATTCTATATTTTTCTTTTTTATTCTTAAATGAACTTTTAGGTGATAATGGTCTACCCTTGTGCATGACACCGATTGATGGATCTTGAAAGCAAGAAGTTTGGAAGAGGTAAGACCTTTTAGGTATTGTTTATCTGTGGTTTTTATATTTGTTTTCTCTGTCTTTGTGTATTGCATATGGATTCTAGCAACTATGTGCTTTTGTTTGGACCTTGTCAATTTGCGACACTAGTTTAACCAAGTCAATTGGGGACACTAGTTTAACCAAATTAAGCTTTCTAATTTTAACCAATCTTAAGTACGCATTTGTGTATCCTTTAATTTAAGGTTATGTGGCCCTTTCCTTCATCAAATCCTTGTGGATAACTTAAGCTCATCTTATCTGTGTTTTAGTGAGGTTGAGTAAGGATTACTGTAGCAATTTACAAGTTCGACATTCATAGAGGCACAAGAATCACGAGTCAACTTTGTGATGAAAGGATTACTTTCGATTAACTTTGTTTCCTTAAGAGAAATCACGCTGAACTTGAGATTCAATTTTTATGTGTAGATACCCAATTATTAGCCTGAGAATGAACATCTGTAATAGTGCTTTTTTCAAGATGAAATTAATTTGGGGGCAATGTTTCCTTTGGTTAAATGTAAAGGACGTGCCCGAGAATATTCAAAGCCGCTTAAATTTCCGAATATTAAGTACAGAAGACCAATTATCTGAAATCACTCAGTCCCAAGCAAAGTGGTCAACACATTAATAAGACTGGAGGATTTCCATTTCAGTTGAAGGTGTTTTGAGGACAACGGGAGACCAGAAAATAAAATGGTTCAGGTGGTGAGATAGAGCTGACAGCAAAGTAGATTTGTCTAGATGACTGCATGTGTTGGAAATTTTGTCTTCTTGAAGTTTATTCTACAACATAACCGAAACAATCCAAGCCTCCAAAAACAGAAAACAACACACAAATAATTGGCTGGGTAATTATTGGCTGGAATTAATATAAGGACAAGAGTCAGTAAAACACAGGTTGATCTGGTTAGATAGAGCTGAATGGTGAAGAAGGATCTTACATTACTGATTGCACGTTGTTGTTACTTTAAGTTTTCAAAATTGATTTGGTAATTCATAATAAAAGAGGCAATGCAGGGATTTCAAAATATATCCAGCAGTCAGCAGTGAACCTCTAATTTACTGGGAAGCCCTTAAGGTTACAAATTGTGATCTATACAATTCTTTCCTTATCCTTATTTTCTTTACCTTGGCTTTTACTTTGAAAAAGTACTTTTAATTGGTCACTGAGGCAATTAGATGCACTGTAAGGTGTTTTGGTCAAGATTTTGAAAAATGAAATGTACTTGGGACCTTTAATAATTTGTGTTTGAGGCATGCTCTCCATATATCATGTTTATTAAGTGGTTTCAGTTTTGAAACTGTAATTTAGTTGGTCTTATTTGGAAATTAGGGCCTAGGGAACTTACAGGTGCTGTGGATCTTATAAATCACTACAAGTTGTTGCCTCACCACGAATTCTTCTGCAAGAGGTCACTTCCATTGTCGATTTCAGATACACACTATCTTCACAATGTGGTTGGAGATGCCGAAATTAGGAAAGGAGAAGGGATGCAATTGGATCAGCTCATTCAGAATACACCCTTTTTGAGAGAGACAAATGCAGGCATACGGCCCTTTGGCCTAGATGTCCTCGGAGAAGCCTTTCAACTTAGAGAAACGGCTCCAGTTGATCTGCCTCCTGTAAGAAATATATGGCTGAAGCTTCCATTTGCTTTATTTTTTATGATTCAGCTGTTNTAGATGTCCTCGGAGAAGCCTTTCAACTTAGAGAAACGGCTCCAGTTGATCTGCCTTCTGTAAGAAATATATGGCTGAAGCTTCCATTTGCTTTATTTTTTATGATTCAGCTGATCGTACTGGATGATGGTCTCTTCTTTTGTATCTTAGATTTCCACAATCAACAGAGTCCTGCATTTTTTTTTCATTCATCCAAGCTGTTTGTTTTTATGTGCTTCCTTGAGCCGTTAGAGAAGTACTGATCTATTTGTATCTCATTGTGTTTGAATTTTGATAGTCAGAGAAGGGGATTCCTACTGTAGCTGGGAAATCGAAAAGTGAGTCTAAGGACAAGGAGAAAAAGCATAAAAAGCACAAGGATAAAGACAGAGAAAAGGATAAAGAGCATAAGAAGCATAGACATCGTCATAAAGATCGGAGTAAAGATAAAGATAAGGAGAAAAAGAAGGATAAAAGTGGCCATCATGACCCCAGTGCTGAAAACTCAAAGAAACATCATGATAAGGTGTGGATTTCATTATTTTCTTACAGATGGTTTACTCTACAAAATACATATTTTTTAGGAGAATGGAGAAGTTTTGAATATCCAAAAGTTTAAATCTTGCATTGTCAATAGTAGTAATGGTTCTTAACAAATCTAAGCGCAGTTCAAGTATTCTTCTTTAGAATGTTGAAATAATCATTATGCTTATGGTAAGGTTTAACTGTTCTGCCCGTGGCCTCTCTTTGTAGTTCTGCATCCAAATATAATGTCTTGTACATTCTCCTCTAAGTTCTGATGAAATCTTTATATCGCATAACTTAATTGTATGTTTTTTTGGGGTTAGTCAAAACGTCATTATACTTCACTATGTTCACAACGGAATTAATTATATGTTCTTTTTATATGATTTCAGAAAAGAAAGCATGATGGAGATGAAGATGTCAATGACATTCAAAGACACAAGAAAAGTAAGGTAACGTGAACACGATCAAATTCTTTCAATTGCTACTTTTCTTTTGGATTGCCTCTGTCTGTTCAGATCTAGTGGTCAGGTCGTTATATAGGTGTTATGGACGTTGCCTTATATGTTCTCTCTGTATCCTTCGCTCACTTTATTGAATTTTCTTCTTACGTTCTAAATATTGCAGCATAAGAGCTCAAAGATTGATGAGATGGGTGCAATCAAGGTAGCAGGCTGAAAAGTGGCATGTGGTCTTCATGATGAATTGTCCTCAGATGTTGCAGTTTAGAATTTGGAGAGACCCATTGCTTACCTTTGTCAAATTATCTGAGGTACAGAGACGATCACATCGTGCCATCACATTCATCTTTATTCTGCTTTCTACATGCTTATGAGTTATGGCTGTGGGGTGCATTAATTAGGCAATTACTTTCGAGATGGGGGCTGGCTGGACACAAGTTTCTTTTTTGCCTGTACATGTACTTGTATGTGGATCTGGGTGTTAATGTGAATTGAACTTATTCTATTCAGCTGAAAACAAAAACTTAAAAGGAGAAAAGTGTTTTGGGTAGCTTGGTAATTGTAGCACATATTTTTTATTAATTTACTTTCATACAGAGACATGGTATGCTTATTCCACATTTATATACATGAACAGAATGTAATTTCTCATTTTCAGAGGGAGCAACAGTGAGGGGTTGAAGGATTAGATGATTTGAAAAATGTAGCATTACAACTTTCTTTTAGGTGTGTAGCCCATTTTCATCTTTGGACAAAGGAAATCAACTTGAAGAAAAGAAATATGGTACCACCGGTTTCTACGAGTTGGCCTTTTTTAGGATAGAAAAGTGAGATTTCAGTATTTGATCACCAACTCAGTAAAGGATGTCTCTTTTTCTTGCAAAAGGATAACTGGAAGTTGTGTTTTTAGTGATCATTCTGTGTATGAAGAATGGTATCTGAATTAGGGTCTGTGACAAGTCTTGCGATATGTTTGTCCAAAGCAGTAGAAAGATATCTGGGTCTCCTTCAAATATTCCCTTTGAAATACCAGGAGAGTATTGCTACCAGAAGTTAATTGGATAAAATGAAGAACAAGTTCTTACAGTACATGGACCAGAAGAAAGCTTGAAAGGATCTATAATCACTATCTAAGGAGATTTGATGTAAGATCAATGGGGTTGTTCCTGTCTTCTTGGAAGCTCTACAGTACAGTGAGCTCTGATTTCATCAATTTTTTGGGATTCTGGTTAGAACGCATGTTTTTTTCCTATTATCTATTGGGGGGAGGGGGACGGTGAGGATCAAACCTAGGTCTTGAGTGTGTGAGGAGGTTTTAATTACAGTAACTTGTCTTGGCCTTAACAAGTTCTCCATAATTTTTACTGCCTTTTGTCCAGGTTTTGTCAGCATTTAAAGACATATGCTCCTCAAGCCATGCTATGCAAAATGATCTTCCCTTATTAGATTTGATTATTCTGGTTTCATTAATTGTAACTTTCAATAAAGTTCAGGCTAAAGAAACAAGATCATTTAAAAGCTGCCAGATGCCGACCTGCTGTACCTCTATGTATATGGGCGCCTTTGAAACTTCTTAGCTGGTCCTTGTTTGTATAATCCTCCCTAGATTTCCTCACCTCACTGGTGATGGCCAATGTACATCACACCACTTTCTGGGCGGACGACCTCTCAAGAATTTTTCATCAATGATGGAGAATTGTGTCTGCCTAAGCTTTAGAAAGTTGGGTATTCAATGAAAGCTTTTGCTGAGTGGAAAAGTGAAAATGACTGGTGTATGACCTCAAATTGTACCTATTTTAACACCCTGATTCCATGTGCTTGGTGCTATTGTTCATTGCTCCTCCATCATACATGTAGTTATACAATTGTAGGATTCTACGAAACTGGACATTTTAAATGATCTGGCCATGCAGTGTTCTATTGATGGCTCATCTGCTACTGTAAACATTGGGCCCTTGGCCTTGATTAGATTGCTTTATTTCCAGATTAGTACTCTGGAAGAGATAACTGAGTTGTATTTCATTTTTCAAAACAAGAGCCAATTACTAGGCAACTTGATTACATATATAGCTAGACTTAAGGCGGCCACTGATGAGTTTTAACTTTTGCTATTATCAGTTATTTTGTGAAATATTGGTGCAACAAGCTAAACACGATTGCTATTTCCCGGTAGGGAGTAATCTGTGGACTTCTTGGGTCCACGAGGAATCTTTTGCTTTCAGAATCTCTGATCATCTAGTGATTTTACACCATGATCAGAAGACATATCATCGCTATCACCTGTCACCCACATGTATTATAATATTTTTGCTTGCCTTTTTCTCATGCAGAATGGTTTCTGGACTAACTAAAAGATTGGCAAGGTGGTGAATTCACCCTTTGAAGTAACTTTAAATGCAAGGTTCAAATTGCTGAAAATGGATTAGTTTGTATCATAACAAGGGTTCTGATATATTCAGTTGTTACATTGAAATCTAAAATCTTTGATTCCTTCTTTCAGTTTTAGTGGTGCATTGGATATGTTAGATTTGTAATTGACTTCTGTAACGTGTCTTGATTAGTTTTCAGTTTTGGGTGGTGAGAAGCATAGTTTGAGAAATGTGCGAGCTGATTTTGAGTTGTTTCACCGTCCGTCTTAGAGTTTAACAATTAACACGTAACATCCAAATTTGGAAACCTGTTTGTAAGGATTGGATCGGATTTGTGTGTACTAATGGAAGAATACATATGTAATCAATGTACAATATTCTTTGTATATACTAGAAAGATAGAATAGCAAGTTGAGATTGTTGATACCATGTAAGGTAAATGGTGGTAGCAGTTGGCATTATGTCCGTGGTTGTATCCTCCCAATGTTTGATGTATTTTACATGTACCGTCGGTTGTTGCATTCACCCAAAGTTTGATGCCTTTTGTGTGTGCAAACTGGAATGGAGTTTGAGCATTCCTGTTTTTCATTTTGTATTCAGGCAACATTTTTGGCTGTAAGGAGTGTGTTCTCTGATTTCATCGATTCTTGGGGAAACACCCCGAGTGAGTTGGTATGCTGATTTTTAGTATTTATCCTCGGACCACTGGTGGCTGAGGAAGTTCATATTTTGTTTGATAAAGCCTTGTTGCGAACTGAGAACCATGATGTAGCTATTTTGTTGCTATATTATGTTTTAGGTTTTACCTGTTGTATTACAAGTAAGTCGGGGTATTAGTGCTATGTAAGTGTCTGTTGCTGGTGAGTATTTGCATTTTCAATGATCATATTGGAACATTTTTTTGGCTTATTACGTTGTAATTTACTGCTTTCATTATTTATGTTATATGTAGTGTTCTTTACAATACGAGCAAGTCTTTTAAAGAAAAAAAACTGTATTTGTGGTATAGAAGGTCAATGTACCATTGTCCACCATAGGTTTTGCACAGCCCCTGTGAAGTTTGGATTTGTCATTATGATGTTTCTTTCATTAAAAGTAGGGTTGTTTGTGGCGGTGGTGGCAATGATCGTGGGGTGACATCAATGGTGGTCATGGTGGTGATCATGGTGGTGGTAGTTGGGTGGTGTTCTGGAGTTGGTGAGAGTTTGTTCTATGACGTGCAGGCGAACCCAGTATGCACATGTATGTTAGTTATTTTTGGCGTGTGTAGTAGTTATTGCCTATTTGATTATTTGGGAGTAANTTCTTTCATTAAAAGTAGGGTTGTTTGTGGCGGTGGTGGCAATGATCGTGGGGTGAGAGTTTGTTCTATGACGTGCAGGCGAACCCAGTATGCACATGTATGTTAGTTATTTTTGGCGTGTGTAGTAGGTAGTGCCTATTGGATTATTTGGAAGTCANCATGGTGGTGGTAGTTGGGTGGTGTTCTGGAGTTGGTGAGAGTTTGTTCTATGACGTGCAGGCGAACCCAGTATGCACATGTATGTTAGTTATTTTTGGCGTGTGTAGTAGTTATTGCCTATTTGATTATTTGGGAGTAACTGTCATTCGGTTTATCATTTGATATCACGTATATATTATTGTTGTATAACTGTCACAACGACAGATGCCATGTATTTTATGGATATTTTAGACGACATGCATCACTCTTCCCCCTACCCACTCCCAAAGAACAAATTGTTTGTTTAAAAATTGAATTCAATTTGAACATGATGGTGCTGAATTCAGCAAATTTGCGTAATCTCTGCCTAAAGAGAGAGAGAAAGAAAAGGGGGGGGGAGGGGGGAGAGAGAGAGAGAGAGAGAGTAATCCTGCTTGGGGCTTGTTCTTGAATTAAAAAATATTATTGTATACATAATGTTAGTCAAAAGAATGCCTCGTCTCTAGGAAATAAGTCATTTTGTAATGAGTCATCGTACTAAGAAAATACGATTACTGTTCAAGTTTTGATTTTTAAAACTCGGGTAACATAATTTAGATTGAAATTCAGGTTCGTTTTCTAGTTCGAAATGTTTTGTCCTATTAGAATTTGGATTAAGATATCAAAAATATATTTTTTTTCCCTTCCAAAAATTGGGTATTGTGTTAATATTTGTAGATTTTTTTGTTTTTTTGAGGGGGGGTGGGAGAAGAGGGGGTTTAAGCTGAGACTAGGGAGTTGGATTATTCAGACTCGGCTCCTTTTGGGTTTTGGGTTTGGTTTG